ACCTCTGTCTGGCCACACCACTTTAACGAAGAATGCTCCTCCCTCCCCATGGAATAGCCATGGAAGGCAGTGCTCCATTGCTGGGCTATCATTTATTCATGACTCTCTAAGCACAGTTCATCTGGCAGAGACTATCCAAGACAAAACACAAACCTCAACTCACCCAACCATCCCTCAGCTCACCTTGCCAGAGAGCATAGGACAAGATGCTGCCAATGCTGCATCCTGGGCTTCAGCATCAACACACTGGACCTGATGGCCGTGAGAAGGGAGGATAGGTTAACTTTCATCTTTTGAACTGATTCTGCTCGAGTTGCTTTCTGCTTCACCTCAGCCCCTCATAACAGCCCTGCACCCCCACTAGCCTAGTCCTTGCCTCTTAACAGTGCTCCAGCTCTGCTGGTCCCTAGCAAGCTGCACGATGCTGCCAGAGGTATTACTCATGCAAGCTCGGCTCTGCTCTCGGGAGAGTTAAACCTCCTGGCTGCCAGACTGAATTAGAGCTTGCGTCTCTCCACACTTGCATCAGAGTGATTTGGGAACAGGCCTGGTGGAGCCACACTACTGAAAGCAAGTGAGGAGCCCAGGCAGGAGCTAGGAGAGAGGAGTGAGCAGGGTGGCTGGCTCAGGATGGCAGAGAGGGGAGGGAGGGGTGAGCAAGCTGTTTGAAATATTCAGGTGCTCAGCAGGAGCAGGTGGCTACCCCATGGGACAGAGAAGCTCTGACACCATGAATAAGTGATGAACAAATCTGTGTTGCCCAGGTGATGGGCACACAGAAAATGGGATTGCAGCCACTCCCCAGGACCTTGGCCTCACTAACAGACCTGGCCTAAGCAATGGCCCTTAAGCAGTGCAGACAGTCATGCATAGGGCTTTTAGCCCCTTCCCTAGGACAGCCTCATCTCCCCTGCCTGCCTAGGTCCATGGGGAGAGCTGGATGGAGAAGAAATGCTTCTCCAGATCAGGGTATGTCAACTCCAACTGCTCAGTGTGGAGAAGGTGAATTGCAACAGAAACCTGCTTTCTGCTTTTAGGTAGGTGACTCCCAGCCCGTAACTAGGGATAGACTAGATTCTCTGAGCCACTAGTTTCTGTGGTTCACTCCTTTCTGGGGGTAATGGGCCAAAAATCTAAGTCAGAACAAAACATTTGCTAGGGGAGGATTTGGCTCAGTTTCCAGGAACTTGGGGTGGTTGCTGCTGCTCTGGAGTTATATTGGACAAAATGTCCTGAGGACTGTCAAATAGCATCTGGGCAGCACTGAATCCGCTTTTCATTTCTAGGGGGAATGTGAGGGAGGGCCCTGGGTATCCTGCTGGGCTACTGCAGAGAGGAAAGTGATTTAACCTGACCCAGAAACCTCTGCAGAGCCTCACAAATAATTGTGATGATGACAAAATAGACTCTCATGGGGCTGGATGGAAAATAAGGAAACTGCACACAGGCAGCCTGTTGGAACAGGAAGAATCAGAGCAGGGATCAAAGAGTTTTCAATGACAGCAATTCTGTGCTGTGAAATGCACCTCAGAGCAGCAGCTGTAAACCCACGTACTTCATGAGGTTTAAGACTTTGAGTGTTTGTGGACCACAGTCGTGATGTGTACCCCTGTTAGTGATATAAACAGAAACTAGCTCCCCAGTCGCAAATTAATGACCCTTGCGGGTTTCCTTCCCACAACAAAAAAGGCACACCTGGATCTCCTCCCAGCAGACATGAAGTCTGAGTGTAGCAGACGAAAACATAACTAATGGTACATATTTTCTTGAGGACAAAGATTGCAGAGGTGGATGGCACCCACACAGTCAACACCACTGACCAGAAGTGGCAAAGGGATGTTAACTGGAGCAAGAAGCATGTTCATTCATCAACACTCACCTTGTTGCATTAATAAGAAGCAATTTAATTGGAGTGACACATTCTGGAAGGCTCAGGCAGCCAGTGCAAAGTATCCATGAAATTTTTAAATCAAACAGGCATTAGAAAATCCTGCATCCTAACACAAGGGGATTCTCTGCAACGTATCTTCCTAAGAGACAAAAAGTAGCACACCACTAGGAATCATTGATTGCTTTGGAACAAAAGACTGAGTTTTGATCACTCTTGGCCTATTGGACAAAAAAAAAAAAGCTAAATAGAATATATATGATGCTGCAAAATTCATTTTTATATTTAAGCTACAAATACCAGCATAAGAATAGGTGTCTGTGGCCATCTGGTTTAAAATGCAGTCTCTGTCAAAATTTTTCTAGAAATTAAATGCAAATTTGCTGCATGGGTACAAACTAATAACATATTTAAGCGGAAACTAAAAGGCTATTTTCTGTAGCTACCAGAGACAGAAAAGTGAGACCTTTTCTGGTTTGATGCATTATGGAAAGTGAACAAATACTGCTAATATGACATCATGCTTTCATGTCTGCTTGGAACAGATATGAATGTCTCTGCAGGGTGGTAGTTACAGGGTATCTGGAGAACAAACCTATTGATATTGTGGTAAGGGCACCACCTCTACTTCAGTTGCTGTGTCTTCTTAAAAGGCTCCATGCTTCTTTCAACCATTTTGTTACATCAGAAATGCCTCCCTCCCAGAAATGTCCCGCTCTCCAACATGATTTTCCAGTAGAGCATCCTGAACCCTACAAGAATAACTGGAGAGAAATCTCCCTTATTTTTCTCTCTTGCCCCCAAGAGAAGGAGGGTTGAATGGATAGGGCAGTGTGTTGCAATTAGGACTGCTGGGTTCTCCCTGTGCTGGTAACACAGAACACAAACTTGGATGTTGGCTGTCTTGTTTCAGTTTCCCAAAGGCCTAAGCATCATGTACCCTTATTTCTCCCATTCCTGGGGGGTTTTGTGCCCTTTGTAACACATTATCAGCCATGCCTTTGGGTTCCTATATGAGGGTTGAAACCTGCCTGTTTCCCATAGAAAGTGGCTGAAGTGGCTTGTACAACTTCAGATAGAGCAGGGCACACGACCTCTTCGTGACACCTCAGCTCAAAAATAGCATAGCTGGTGATGTGCTTGACAGTGTTGTCTCCAAGACATGCTGCCCGGATCAGTATCAAAGATGCCTGATACAAAAAACTCTACCTCTGAATAACCGGTAGCCACTGACTCCACCAGTGGAGGACAAATTGCAGGGCTCTGTATGTGTGGCTCCATAAGGGTGGCGGCAGCCCACTTCCCAAGAGTTAATCCTAGTGCATAACAAGCACACCAAAGGAAGCTGCTCCTTGAGTCTGTGGGTGTGCTGTGATATTCCTTGCCACAGAATGCATGGAGCATCTACAAGTCTAAAATCAAAACAGATTCAAAAGTGAATAGATGAATTCCCTGAAGAAAAAGACACCATGGACTAATAAAAGCAAAGACATAAACTCGTATTACCTTTTCTCTCCCTCAACCTCCTGCTTTGCTCTTTTTGTGCAATATTCACATTTTTGAGAGAAAATCTGTGCTGTTGCTGGAGAGTGATCATCCCCCAGGTGCCTTTTGGTCTAGCTGAGGTCACGTGCTACAGGAGTCCCTAGCACTATAAAAAGCAGAAATGCATATAGGAATGCATATTATTTACAACTGTCTAATAGTGTGCGTGGAATAGCATTCAGTGCTGCTACAGGAACCCTGACAGCTCTGGGCTCGTGCCTCTTTGCTTTGCACTGCCACAACAGAAACGCACCGGTGAGCTCTCCCTGGAGGCATGGGATCCATCACGTGAGGATGGGTCTGAAACCCTCCAGAGCCAAAGTCTGCTGGGAAGATTGGGCAGGGGGTGTCTGAGCGGTAGGCAGTGAAATTCCAAGCAAGCTGCTCCTGCTTGCTGCTGTTCCCATGGAAACAGGGGAAAGGCGAGAGGAAATGCATCCCCAGCCTCTTTTGAAGATGAGCTCCTTCAGCAGCACCCCCGGCCATCACACCTATTCCCATAAGAAGCAGGGTTTGGCAATTCCCCTCAGATGCATCTCCTTGAGTGAGACTATCAAGCCTATGGACTGTTCCTTCCTCACCCCAGACAACAGTGGGCAAGAGAATGCCAATCATCCCATTGCCAAGGCTGAGCCTCAGAGCTCAGAAAAAGTGAAGCAGTTTCCAGCAAATTCTGCAGCTTATGCTTCTCCCCAGTTTGGAACTGGGGAAGCACTGGCAGAGACACCTATTTCCTGACTGTCGAGGAAGCTGGACTCTACTTGCAATATCTGGACTTGAACAAGTCGGAACCCTTCCCGAGCTCTGTATGTGTGTCCCCTGTGTGTTTAGATTGAAGGTCTAAAGTGACTTTCACACTCATCCCTGCAACCAAGCGAGTTAGCTCTGTGTGTGAAATACACTGCAGTTGGCTCTGCAATAGCTAGCTGAGTATCCTTGGGCCCGATGGAGATCATAGCAGCGAAGATGCTGCCCAACCTAAGGTTTTCCCTGAGTGCTAACATTAGCACTGATGGTCACCCCTACCCCCCTCCCCCGACCAGTAGGGATGCCCATATATTAGAAAAACAGACGGAGTTCACGCAAAGTGCTCTTGGTTCTCCTGCTTCGTCCCGAAGGGAGGAAAACCCACGGGACCCCTCACCTCCCCATCAGCAGCCCGGCTGGGACCGAAGCCCGCCTGGACCGCCTGACGCCCCCTCGGCAGGGCTGGGAGCGGGAGCCCTCCCCGGCCGCGCCCGGCGGCGGCTCCACTCTCGGTGACGCTCGGGAGGGGAGGCTGCGCTGGGCTCCCTCCCTACCTGCCTGCTCCTTGCCTGCCTCCCTGCCTGCCTCCCTGCCTGCCTCCCTCTCTGCTGCCGGCCGGCGGCTCAAGGTCATCCGCCGCCCCGCTCGGGCGGGCGCGGGTCCCGCCGCGCCCCGACCCGCATCCCATCCCACCCATCCCATCCCATCCCATCCCATCCCATCCCATCCCACCCATCCCATCCCATCCCATTCCCATCCCATCCCATCCATTCTTCGTCCGGCCCCCCCGCCTCCGGCGGCCCTCCCACCGCGGCTCTGCCCGCCCTCCGCCGCGTGTAGCGGCGCTGCGCGTGCAGCGGGCCGGGGCCGGCGGCCGGGCCCAGCTGCCCGCCGAGCCGCGGCTGGGGGCATGCCGCCGCGCCGCCCGCCCGCCCGCGCCGCCCCGCCGCCCGCCCGGCCGACCGGGAGGCAGCGCCCGGCGGCGGCGGGATAATGCGGCTGCCCAGCCCGCAGGCACCGCCAGCGGGCGCCCCGCCGCCATGTCCCCCCCGGCTCGGCGGCCGCCGCAGCGAGGGAGGCAGCAGCACGCCGGTGCTCCGGAGGAGGAGGCGGAGGGGGCCGAAGAGGAGGTGAGGAGAGCGGCCGCCCCCCGCCGGGGCTGACCCAAACCACCCTCTCTCCCCGCCCGCTTTGCATGGCGCGTCATGACGCTCCGCCGCGGGCCGGGCGGGCTTGCCCGCACAGGTAACGGACCCCTCTCCGGGAGCCCCTCGCCCCGCTCCGGCCTCGGGGCTGCGGTGCGGCCGCGGGGGGGGCGTGGGTAGGCCAGGAAACCCACCCGTCGGTCCCCGCCGCCCGTGGACTGCCTGGCGCTTTCGCTTCTCCATCGCCTCGCCTGTCACCTGGGGATCGCCGCGGAGCCGCCGGGGCTGGCAGGGACGCAGCAGCCAACGCCGTCCGCAGCGGGGCCGGAGCCGGAGTGGCCAGGGTGGAGGAGGAAGGGAGAAAATCACAAAAGAGAGGCGCGGGGCGCCGCTTGGTCTTACTGCCACGGGCAGAGGTTGTTATGCCTGGGAGGAATGGAAGTGGAGACCCCCGCCTTGCTGCGCTCTGGCTTCTGGGGGCATCCAGGAGATGGCACAGCTGCCTAGGTCACTGCGAGGGAAGACGCGGTGGATAGCACGGGAGAGGGCTTGGGGACCCAGCGCCAGAGACTGTTGCTGGTCGCTGCTCCCAGCTGGAGGTTGGCTGAGGAGAGTGGAAGGTGCAGACTGGGGCAGGCCAGGTACCAGCACAGCTTTGCCTCCACGTGTACTGCAGTCTTCCCTTTTTGGAGAGACTTTTCTGGAGTCCAGGCAGCAGATGCCAGAAATGCTCAAGAGCAGGGTGCCCTGTGCCTAGGGAGCAGTACCAATAGGCAGGTGTGCCAGCCCCTTTGTCTGCCTCCACAGATCCTGCTTGCAGCTTGGGCTTCCCAAGAGGAGAGAAAGCAACTGCACCGACTAGTGAGAAGCACCTTATGCCATGGGGCTGGTGACCCATGGAAGTCCGCTGGGCAGTGTAGGAAGGACAGGGTTCTCCTGGTGTGGTGGGTTGTCCTCTCTGGTGAGACCACAGCTCAAAGGACAGCTTGTTGGGTGCTCAGGAGCTGGTGCATCACTTGTCCTCTGCTGCTGAGGAGCTGCAGTTAGTGAGTGCTGCATAATCCTGGTATTCTCTGTCTCCTTGGCTTAGGCAGAACATGCATGCTCATGCACTGTTATTCTATATATACAGCTTATATTTAGATATAAATAATTGCAGGAGAGGAATGCTGAAGTTCAAGGACTAGGAAGCTGTACAAATACTGTGTACTCTGCTCTGTGTCTGTTCCTCTCTTCCTGCTTCCATTAAACAACTCCTGATGCCCTCAGCCCAGCTCTCCAAACAGATCCTGACCAAGGTAGCTAAACTATGAGGTCCTTTTTTAGCATGAGGACATGCTTGTGCCATGCTGTGACATGGTCTCTTACTGCCAGTGCTCTGCCAGTGCTGGTGCTACTTTCAAGACAGCACAGTGGCTTTTCAGAGGTGCCAGTTCAAGAGCCACTTTGGATGAAAGAAGTGTAGCAGGGGTAGCATCCAGGTGAGTTTCCCTCACCTGTGGTGTCCCCTTGTTCGCAGGGATTACAAGAAGATTGTCTTGGCTTTGATTGCTCTGCTGTGGCTGCCAACTAGGGTGTCAGTGTAATCTTACACCATGAGAGTAGGCAGAAGGGGTACAGGCCATGACCTGCACTTTTTAGGCTAAGGGCATCCTTCCTGTGGCCAGAAGCTGTCACAGACTTGCATGAAGCAGCTGGTGCAGGACAGGAGAGCTGCAGTCTCTCCTCATGGTGCCGTGCTTACTGGTGTCTTGTGATGCAATGAATCACTTTAGTGGGAAGGGGAGCCTGGATTCGTGGACTGACCTAGGGCAATCATCTTGTCTTCAGAAATATCGGGAGGGGAGAAGGACAGGCTGTAGTGATGTCCTCATTTCCATCAGAGCCAACCGTTGGTGCCAATATCGCTGAGCATCCCAGCAATGTAGCTGAATCCCACATGTCAGGATCTGTTGACCAGGGCAGGTGGGGAACCAGAGGAGATGTCTGGGGACTGGAAAATGGGAAATGTGCTCTGTCCTCTTTGAAGGTACCTCGTGTTAACATATCTCAGGTTGCTGTGTCTAGAAGCCAGGCAGGGCTTCGGGTGCTTCTCTGTCCCAGAAAGGCAAGTAGCAAGAACTACTGGCCAGAGCTGACTGAGCCCATGTTTCCACTTGGCATTACATGCCTACACATACACTTAATGGTGGTTAGCTGAATTTCAATCAGCAACGCATACTTGGAGGGTAGGGAATACCAAGGGAAAAGTTCTTCAGCCTGGGAACAAGCAAAAAAATGTCCTCGTCCTGCTGCTCAGGTGGGATCTGATGGAAGGGACCAGTCCTCCTCCAAGTTGCTGTGTAAAATGGAGGACTTGGTATCGCTGCAGGATCTGACTGCTGGCAGAGTTCCCTGGCTCCTAGATGCTCAACCTTCCTCCTTCCTCTGCAGCTGGCAATGCTGCCAGCCTCGTCTTGAGCCACCTCAGGTAGCTCCAGAATCTGGGCTGTAGGCATAGGGCGTGTGATGTGAGTGTTTGCTTGGACCATCCTGGCCAGGAGTTGCCAATGTCTGTCCAGGGCCTTGGAAGACAGTGGCAATTCCTAGAAATGACTGGATTTCCCCTGCCTCTCTTATTCTGGGGATTTGAAGTCAAAGGGATCTTATTAATTTCTTGCATGACATAAGTGAATGGTGGGGAAGAGCCATGGAAACTGATGCTCAAGAGTCCCACTGGAGCCACCTGCAAGCTGCTGCCACTGCCTGGCACTCAGGAGCTACCTGGGCCTTCAGGCTACTGCTCTGGGGCTTTTTTGATTGGTTTTTTTTGAGTCCTGTAGAGGGCTGTCTCTAGAACACCTAACCCTCTGAACCCCAGGGAGTCTTATAAAGTGACAGTTTAGCTCTGGAGGTGAATCAGAGATTTAAGGCAGGTCTTTACAGGGAGAGACAGGTAAGAGGATGGGAGGTGATGACATGAAAACACTTGTTAAACAGGGAGACAGTGGATGGGGCCAGGGCTGAACTGTTACAGAGAGGAGCTTGAAGAGCTTGAAGGATTTCTGAAGTTGTTTAGTGTTCAAAGTTGCAGGGTCAAGGTTGCAGGGGTGATTAAGGTTTTTTGGCCCATTTGCTTAGCCACTGGGGTGCTGGGCATGTTTGTCTCCTCAAGGCTTTTTTTAGAAGATGATCCCTCCCCCCCCAGTTTCTATTGCCTCTGCCCTGTACGTTGTGGGAATCTCCTTTTGTTTCACAAAAGGCTGGTTGTAAGTCATCCCCTCCATCCCTCCCCATGCATCCCAGAGCAGCAACGTCAGCTGTGGGACTCCATCTCTGTTCATCTCAGGGGCAATGTCAGGGAGACATTGCCACCTCAGAGACAAATGCCATGTACGAGGCAAGGGAGGCTGTAGCAGCAGCCCACCTCTTGCCTTTTCCAACGTGTGTTACAGTCAGCACCCAGGTGCCTGGTAAGAGTCGCCTTGTCTGTTCTGTGTGGTGAATTGAGGCACTGGGATCCCCCAAAGGGGTCAGCCAAGCCTTGGCCAGACCAGTTCTGCCCTCTAGCACTGCAGAGATGTTTCTGTGCACCTGCAATAGCGGATTTGCTTACCGTTCTCCAGCGCTTGAGCCTGAGCCATGAGGGAGGCTCCTGGTGATGGAGGGAAACCCTGTTTGCAGTGAAGTAGGGCAAGTATTTTGCCTCATTCCATCAGACTGCAGCGGGCAGATGACGATGGCATTTATATCAGAGACTGCTCTCCTCCCAGTGACACTGTTCTGGGACAGATTTCCCTTTCCCCAGCTTTTTCATCTGCTTGTTTGCTATGCTGGACTTATCCAAGGCTGGTTAATAGCTCAAGGAGACAACCTTATTCAGCTACTTCTGCGGGGGGAAGCCGTGGAGCCAGTTGTTTGCTCCTGTGAGCCCTTTGCAGCCTGGGAGAGGAGCAGGGATGCTGCAGTTCCTACTGGGATTAGACTCTGCAGCTGGCTCCTCCTCCGTCTCTGCTGTGGTTGTATCCCGTCATAGGCACTTGATCAGCTTTCGGAAACCCCACCAGTGCTGCTGAGGTGTATGTGTTTTACCTCAAAAACCTAAGACAAAACTGGATTGTAAACAGTTTACAGCAGGGGTTACTGTGACCCTGTAAAAGCGCTGCAGTATCTAAATGCTGCGTAGTCCTAGGAGGAGACTAATGCATGGACTAGAGCCCTGCTAACACAGTTCCTGGAACCAAGCCTGGGCTGCATCGTGCTCCCTGCCCTGGATAGGTAACCGCAGTGGGGCTTGCCTGCATCTCCTCAGGGTGACAGCCAGCATCTCCCTTCTCCTGCGACACAGGCAGTGCGGAATATGAAGGTCTGGGGAGTGACTGGGAGGTGAAATTTGCTTTTCTGAGGCAGACATCTCTGAAGACTTTTTTGTTTGTGCCCATTCCCCAGCTTGGCAAATGAGTGAGCTGGATGCTTTGCTTTTTTCCCTGTGCTCTGTTTGCAGATCTGCCTCCTGAACAAGGTGCTGTTTCTCAGCCTTCTTACCCCACAGACACCCTGAGTTTAGTATGTACCTTGCATCTCCCCAGGGCTCCTGTTCAGACCCTCCCCATGCTCCTCCTTTGGCTGAGCAGCTCCCTTAGATCCTCACAATCAGTGCTGCTGCTGCTGCCAGGGAAGATCTGCAACGTGGAAGGCAGCAGTGGGAGAGGAAACCTTCATCTGCCTGGGTAGTGGTACAGCATTCCAGCATGGGAGAGTCATGCTGCAGCTGAGCAAAGACAGAGGGATCTGAGCAGGCTCTTAAAACTGCAGTGTGGACCTCAGGAGGGAGGGCACAGCTCAGGAGGCTTTGCCTCCTGAATGGCTCCCCCTTCCTCTCCTCGCTCCCTTTTCTCTTACCTAGGGTTCCCTTCTTGTCCCGTGACCATGAGGCTGCTGCAGTGGTGGGTTGCAATGTGAAGACTTGGCTGCACGTGTGTCCATGCTGGCGCTGCCGAGCAGAGCCACTCTGCACCTCTCCGTGTTGGCTGAAGGCTGGCACTGCCCCACCTGCCAGCCCTGGGCTTGGTGTCTGTCTCCAGCTCTTCCTGTCAGCCGGTGACTCCAGAGAGGGGAGCTCAGTGCTGCTGATGCTTGGGACTGCCAGTGGGATGTACCACCATTCCCCTTGCCACCAGTGGTCCCTCTGGATGTGCAGGCTGGCTGCTGTGGTGGGCAGGCAGGGAAGTTCCCTGCTTCTGGGAGAGAAACTTCTGTTGGAGATTTGGGCTGGATCCAGCCCTGCTGTGTGCGGTGGCAGAAGACCCACTGGCATGGGGTGGACCAGGGTTTGACAAGGTGTAGGGAGGAAAGATAAGCCTCTGGGACTCTAGGGGGCCAAGCCAGCACTGAGGGACTCTTCAGGAGAGCACGACACATTTCTTAAAGGAAAGAAGAGGTGCAAATCTGTCCCTAGACCTGCCAGTGGCCTTGTCATCTCTGGTTCTTGCTTTAATTTTCCTTTTCATGCCAGAGTGGAAGTGCCCCTCCTGCTTTCTAGCAGTGTGAGCCCATTCAGCTCTTTGAGATCCCTGGGTGAGAAACCTGTCCAGCCCAGTGTGCTCAGGAATGGAGAAAAATGGAACCAGGCTTGGACTTCAGTGCCATGAGTGGTGTCATTACAGCTGGCATTAGCCCCTGCCATGGCAGAGGTGAGCTCAAGAGCAGTGCTCCGTGCAGGTGGGGAGGGAGAACAAAGCTGGAAGCCTCTTAGTGAGTTTCATGGCATCTGCACAGTGATGGGGTTCTTGCCTCCCTCTCTCAGGTTGCACATTTGGAGACTGCTGGATGAAGTGTAAGAAAGCAAGTAATCTTTCTTTGGGTGGGATAATGTTAGGTCTCACAGACCAAGGTGGATCAATACTTGAGACTGCAGAGTGTTGCAGAGTGACAGAAGTTTCCTGAACCAGGGTTTTTTTCATGGATCTCTGCGAAACCCTGCACTGTTCCTCTGGTAAAAGCACCGGTGTAGTCCCTTTAAAAAGTCCTGTTTTTGAAGTTCTGCCCTTTCCTCACCATGAAAGACCTGAGAGCAGTTTTTTTCTGGAAGTGTGGGCTGTCACAGCTGAATCCCAGTGCAAGCAGGGACATTTGCTAGCAGCTATGAGTGACCTCTTGCCCTCCCTGCTGCTGCAGATTGGTGGGATGCTCTTCCAGCCTGAACACTTTTTAGGATGTTATTCCATATTTGCTTTCTCTCCTGCCAAAGGTGGTGCATTTCAGTTGTGGAAAAGTACTTTCCCGTTATTGTGATTTATACTTGAAAAGCATTTCAGAGCCCCTTAGGCTGCCAGGTGCTGTGGTGGGAATTGCCATTGCCATTACCAAACAGAGACATTCCCAGCTGCAGAAGGTCTGTTTCTCCACCTTACAGGCACCCCAAGCAGCTTGTGCTGCCCTGGTGGGAGAAATTGGAATATTGCTGGTGCTCGTTACTTGGAAGAGGGGAGCGACTGATGTGTGAGCAGTGAGAGGTGCACTGGGATGAGCTGTGGGGAGGGGTTCAGGTGGGGCAACCCATCAGTTAGAGCTGCCTGCACTGGTGGGATAGGTGCAGAAGCTGAGGTATGTGGGGGAGATCCACCAGCCTCTGTCTTATTGTGCTTCATTACCCCTCCCCAGGATGTGGCAGTGGTAGGGATTACTCTCCCCTGAAGAAGGGGAGTGCTCGGGGTGTGGCTGGCAGAGTTGTCCTCTGCCACTCTTCTTCACATCCAGCTGGGATGTCTCCCAAGGAGGGGCAGAGCACCGTAAAGGGAAGTGGGGGTGACAGTTGCCCACACTGTGTGATTGTCATCCTGGGAGAGATCCCGGCCTCTGGCCTGCCCGCTGAGGCTGGGAGCCCCAGGCATCTGCTGTTTTGTCTCCACAGAGCTATAGGTGCTACCATAGCACCCTTCTGCCTTCTCCCCTTCCCTCTGCTCCTGCAGTCTACTGACTCCTCTCTTGTTTTCTCTCCCCTTCTTCCCGGTCCACCGGAGCAGCAGCGGCCAGTGAAGCAGTCTCTCAGCAAGTCTCTGTGCCGAGAGTCCCACTGGAAATGCTTGCTGCTGTCCCTCCTCATGTACGGCTGCATGGGAGCCATGACATGGTGCCATGTCACCAAGGTGACCCGGCTGACCTTTGACAGCGCTTACAAAGGCAAGTCCATGATGTACCACGACAGCCCCTGTTCCAACGGCTACGTCTACATCCCCTTGGCTTTCCTGGTGATGCTCTACGTGGTGTACCTGGTGGAGTGCTGGCACTGCTACACCCGCAACGAGCTGCAATACAAAGTAGACGTGGAGAGTGTGCACGAGCGTGTGCAGCGGATGCAGCAGGCGACTCCCTGCATCTGGTGGAAGGCCATCAGCTACCACTATGTCCGCAGGACCCGGCAGGTTACCCGCTACCGCAACGGGGATGCCTACACCACCACCCAAGTGTATCATGAGCGGGTCAACACCCACGTGGCAGAGGCTGAATTTGATTATTCCAATTGTGGAGTTAAGGATATCTCCAAGGACCTCATTGACCTAGAGAGCTACCCCGCCACGCGGCTCCGCTTCACCAAGTGTTTCAGCTTTGCCAATGTGGAGTCAGAGAACTCCTATCTGACCCAGCGGGCCCGCTTCTTCACAGAGAATGAGGGCCTAGATGACTACATGGAGGCCAGGGAGGGGATGCACCTCAAAAATGTGGACTTCAAGGAATACATGGTGGCCTTTTCCGACCCAGACAACCTGCCTTGGTATGTATCTCACTATGTCTTCTGGGTGGCAGCTCTGCTGACCCTGTCCTGGCCCCTGAGGGTGCTAAATGAGTACCGCACCTCCTATGTCCATTACCACGTGGAGAAACTCTTTGGGTTTGACTACGTGGCAGTGACGCCGGCCGAGGAGCGCACCTTCTGCCGGAGGATGCCCCGCGTCAACACGGTGGACAGCACTGAGCTGGAGTGGCACATACGATCCAACCAGCAGCTGGTGCCCAGCTATTCGGAAGCGGTCCTGATGGACTTGGTGGGGCTCTCTGGCTGCACCAGCTACTCTGCTTGCCGGTACGGGGGCTACCGGCAGAACTGCGAGCGATGCCACAGGACTATAAGCAGCTCCTCCATCTTCTCCCGCAGTGCTCTGAGCATCTGCAATGGCAGTCCCAGGATTCCCTTCAGCAGCAGCCGCTTTTCTCTGGGCCGCCTGTACGGCTCACGACGCAGCTGCCTCTGGCAGAGCCGGAGTGGGAGCCTGAATGAGCAGAGCTGCCCCACTGAGCAGACACGCCTCTCCAGCCAGGTGACTGTGGAGGAGGAAGACCCCCCTCCTTACCAGGATGCCCTCTACTTCCCCGTTCTCATTGTACACCGCAACGAAGGCTGCCTGAACCACGACCACCGTCACCTCCATCGCAACGGGTCCTGTGTGGAGACCTCACTGTGAAAGCAGAGGGTGGTGAGATCTCATTGTCCGTTGCCTGGCCCAAGCCAGCACAGGATTTGGGGAGAGGAGCACAGGGGGGACAGCCTAAGAGGACATCAGGATGGAGTGGACATGGCATCTTGCTCCATCAGCCAGCGAAAGCTCCCCACAGTGTGGCTCTGACCTCCCAGAGGGGTGGGTGCTGATGCTCCCCTGACATGGCACAGAACTCTAGACCAACCACCACATGCAAAAAAAAATAAATAATTTAACCAAACCAACCCCAAAACCGTAATTCATGGCATCAAGATCCAAAGGGGAGAATAAAAAGATAGGCCTGATGCAGGAAGGGGGTGGTTTTTGGCTCCCGGCCCTGGCTCCAGGCTGGCTCATGCTCCGAGGAACCAGCAGCCATCAGAAAGCACCTTGCTGCACCTCTGCCCACTCTGCTTCCCATGCTGGAGCAAGACCCCTTGCAGTGTGGAGGGGAATGGGCCCCTTGGGAGCAGGGTGTAACTGCCTGTAACGGAAGGTCTGGGGCATCCAGGCACGTGGATGGAGCCGCAGGTTAAAGCAAAGGCTGAAAGCCATGAATCCAGCTCTTCCCCTTCCCCCCAACTGTTCCCCACCCTCCCCATTTTTTTTTTTAGACCACGCTCCGACTGTTACTCTGTTCTCACTGCTGGGAATGGCATCACCTCCAGAGGATCCCAGGCTCCTCAGGAAGGTTCGGCATATCAGCTCTGAGTCAGCATCCCTTAGGTAAAGGGTTTTCTGTTTGGGCACGCAGCACCGGGGAAGGGATGAATGTGCAAACCCAGATGGAGCAGAGATCTGCAGCGCTACTGATGTGTTTGCTGGAGGAGGGCTCAGCTGGAAAGAGAAAACGGTAGGCCCCTGGTGAGCTGAGGAAGGGGAAGAGGATGGCACTGGGACAGGCATCATGGTATCAGGTGGCACGTCAAGTAGCTGGGGACCCTTCCTGGCTTTGAATTGAGTCCTAATTGGTTCAGACAAGCATCAAGGAAGGCTCTGGTAGGTTCAGCTGCAGTTCACCTATTGATAATGGAGCAGCAGGTTGGTGCATCTCTGCATGAGTGAATTTTGCATGAGATCCAACTGGGCTCTGGCTGTGGACTCTGAGCTGCAGGATCCTGACAGCCTGGTTTTGGGAGAGAGCTCTGAGGGGCTAGGAGAGAGAAATGCAAAAGCGTGCAGGAGCATTGAGAACCTGGGCTGGGGAAATGAGGAGCAAAAGGATTCCCTTTCTGTGGGACCCCATTATGGGTGCAGGACCCATGCAGGAGGCATCTTCCATGAGTGATGCTTTCTGGAACAGAGGCAAGGGATGTGTTAGAGGGGAACCTGCTTAAAACTGAGCAGTTTGCACTACAGAGGTTTTTGCAGGGAGGTGTCAGGCTGTGAGAAGTGAGGTGACTTCTGTGTAGCCCATTAGCCCCTGGGTTTTTCTGCCTTACTCTTGTCAGCACAGGTTGCTCTGAGCTTTGTGCTGCCCCTTCTATCCTGTCGGAAGGGATCTTGGTGACGTTGGGCAAGGAGCATTCATGTCACTGAAGCTTCATCAGTGGCTGCAGCATGCAGACACCCGGCTTTTTCTCAGAAAAGCTGTCTCCTTTTCAGTCAGCTCTTTGGGGGAGCACATGCCAAATCAGCCAGTGATTTCTCCAAACAGCACTGCTTTTCAGCCTCACCACACTTCCCTCATCAGCTGGGGCAAACAGCTAAAAGCAGCAGGCCTTGGGTGACAAGGGTAAGTCCTTTAGCACCTGGGCATTTGAACTTGATGTCTGCCTCCACATCCATCACAGAAAGGCGAGATGTAACAGCAAACAGTGAGGCATTGTATTTAGTCCAGCCTGTCTTCCTCCTGCCAGCTATTAATGAGGGCTCTGTTTCTCTCATCACACTGCTTTATTACTTCGCCTCCCAGGTCTTGAGGAGGCTGCAAATGCACCCATGCACCACATCAGTCCTCTTGCTGGCAAGCCTGGAGCGGTCAGCACCTGCGGGTGTTGTAGGGCTCTGTTTGTCTTTTCCCCCAGAGCAGTCTGTTCTGCTCTTTGTGTGCCCTGTGTATCCTGGTCAGTGTCTCTTGCCCTTCAAGTCAGCTTGTCCTCCTTGATCCCAAGTGCTAGACTCCAGACAGGAGTTTGGAGAACAGCAGTTTGAACAGAAAGTCCCTTAAAATCTCACTCTGTTACGATTCTGTCTTGTCATCTGCCCTTTCTTGCCCTAGACTTAGATGTTGGCTAAAAGAGAGTCCCTGGGAGGCCAGAGAAGCATAAGATCTCTGGTGTGGGCACATCCCTCTCTGCGTTTTGTTCTCATCATTTTTGGCACAGTTTCAAACTGGGTGAAAGCAACCCTGGGATTTCCTTGCTCAGTAATGACATTTGGCTTGCTGTGCATTTGTGCTTCTCTCTCCAAGGGCTTAATGTAAGCCAAGGCCAATGATGAGTGTCCACGTGACTCTGGGGAGATAATGGTGTGTTCTTGTATGTCCCAGTGAATTGAGACAGTGGAGCTGCAATGGGTCATTAGTGAGGAATGTGGTCACCTTGTCCTTGCTGACATATTCTCTTTGAAATCTCCTACACATTGCTTAAATTAGGCTGTGATGGTTCCTCTTTCAATCTCCAGCATCCAAGGTGCCTTGGACAGATGGATTTATCTAAGATTTGGCAGGACTTTTAGCTCCCTGGGGCAAAGACAGTCCTCAGAATAGGGACAGATTAGCAGGGTCTCTGGGCTCCCCATCCTTTAGCACTGTGCAGCAGAGTTGCAGGCACCGTGTCCTTGGCTCTTTCTGGGGCTTTCCATGAGAATGCCTCACCTCGTTCCTCTGCCCCATTTTCTCCTGTGAAATCTTATTCCGGAGGTGGTCTGTCCAGGTGAACACATGGGTCTTCAAGGCATGGCTGCTGCTCTGACCAGCAGGATCCATACAGTCTTCCTGTTACTGAACACCTTCCCCGTTGTACCTGGTGCCAGCTGCAGCCAGGTCCCAGGCATAGTCCCAGTGCCACTGTCTGTGGCTGTCCCAGACCCTCAGTACCCTGAGAAGTGGGACCTCTCTAGCTGGTGCTTCCTGCTGGACGCTAGGATTTCTTGGAGATCCCCTTCCTCATATTCTTGGCCCTGCTACCCCACTACTGCTGGTGGAACTGCCCCTCTGGTCCAACTACTCCATTCTCGCATGGGTAAAGATATTCGTGCCCTGCCTCAGGCTCAGGAAAGGGGGATGACACACATGGACGTGGTAAAGGAGCAGGACTGGGCAGGAGGAACAGGAGCTGCCTGCTGGCTTGGCAGAGAGGTGGTAGAGCTGAAGAGGACAGTCTGAAATTGGGGTTCTTCCTGGCATGTCTAGCTAGGCAGGGAAGTTCAGAGCAGAAAACTGGGCTCTCCCTTCCTGGCATTGGACACCACCAGCAAAGTTTGTGTATAAGTTTCCTCCTGAGTGTTGGTGAGGAACTGTAGTGCCCTGGGCAAAAGCAATTCTTATGACACAGGTTACTAGCACAGATACCCAGAGATGGTCTGTCCCTGCTGTGGCAGCACAGCCTCTCCATAGTGGAGCCGTCCTATCTCCCCGGCACACAGACACCCACCTACCACAGCTCTGGGCTGAGCAGCAGTCAGGCATCTGCTCCTCCTGCAGACTTGTGTCTGCTCTCTGCCGTGTCTGTGTTGGTGATGACGATTCCTTTGGCAGCTCATTCGATGGCCCAGTCTGCTCCTCTCGTGATAGCCTTCTCCCTTATATCTAACCTGAATTCTCCCTGCTGTATCTTAATCCCATTACTCCTCCTTCATTGACTGGTGAGTCTAATTGGCTCTGCTCCTTTTCCCCATGGCCTTCCCGACACAAGCAGGCGTTATCTAGTCTCTATAGCCTTCCCTTTACCAATCCTAGGGTCTTGATCTCACTTGCCAAACCCTGGTTTGAGTGGTGGTGCAGAAGTTTTCTCTGTGTAGTGAGTATGTCACTCCTGCTCTGAGCCCAGCCTGGGCAAGAGGAGAGGGCCAAAGGTGCAAGCAATGCCTTGGTCTGTCAGGAAGGCTTTGTCCTCACTTCCAGAGCAGATCTCTTCAAAGCGAGTGGAGTACACAGAGCTGCTGGCCCCTTACGCAAGGAAAGCCAGATAGTGCACATCACCCTCTGGGAAGGTGAAAGCTGTGTGCTTGTCAGTATGATGGGGGCAATAACTAAAGGATCTCCACAGTCAGATGGCTTAGGTTTTCTCCATACATCGTTCACCCATTGCAGCTTTCCATGGGCTGAGAGTCAGGCTCAGCATTGCACTTACCAGCAAGCTTTCCTCACATACTAGAAGGATTGAGACAGGAATGCTACCAGCTCCTCTTCCTGGCCCTTCATGGTGCTAATGCATCCTAGAAGAGGGCTAGTCCTTACTGCTGCAAAGCTGGACAATAAGTTTGGGTTATTTGATGTTTGCTGTTGCTGTCAGTATACTTGTCAGATACTTAAGAAGCTCTGAATTAGCTGATCTTCCAGACACATGACCACCCATTTATCTGTCTTTCAGCACACTGGAAGCTTCCCAGGTAACGCCTGGCACTTTGCTTGCGCAGAACTGGTCGGCAACACCAGCCAGCCTGGTGGTACTTCCTGAGCCCACTGCATGTCGTGTCTCACTCTACACCAAGGAAGGAGGTTTCAGAGAGGGCTGTCAGAGTGAGCAGCTGTAGGGACATTTGTTAGGATGGGAAGAGGGAATCTCAGCTTATGGCGAAGCCCAGGCCTTCCAGAATCACACACCAGGCAAATGTGCAGTATTAGGACTGGGGAAGTTGCTATGCATCCCCCTCCCTTTCTGCTCCCCATAAAATGCACCTTAGAGATCCAGCCAGTCCCTGCCCTCTTTGTTGTCTTTTCACTCAAAAGGCTGGAGAGATGTTTAATAACTGATGGATGCCCATGGGGAGAGGACTGCAGGAAAATGTTTATTTAGTGGAAGTTGGAGAGAGTTAGGTAGCATCCGATGTCAGCGGAACAGTTCCTGCTGATTAGCCAGTGGGACAAATAACACCTTTTAAGCTCTTTTTCCAGCCTTTCCAACCACAGCTTCAGTACAGCTGTCTTATATCACCAGGATGCTGCCTTACATGAGCAGGGTACAACCTTGCTGCAATGTGCTCCTACTCTGCCACCGTAGCTGTAGGGTCTGAGTCTGAAATACTATACCACCACCAAGATGTTGTGTTACCAAAGAGCTGTAAGTCTTAAGTTGGGATATGTGCTTCTGATCATGTTTCATTCATGTGCATATTAGAATAAGGTCTGTGTGAATATGATCTGTATCCAGGTGATCTCAGAAATGAGACATGGTTTAAGTGTAGCTCTGTTTGATGCTGCTGCCTCCAGTGATGCACTTGGGCCTAGAGTCTCCACCGAGCCAGATATGCATGGGGGCCAAAGGCTGGTTCATAGGACCTGGGAGCCCAGTGAGGAATTGGGGCTGAGCCCACCTAGGGCTGTTTCCCCTGTGGGCATTCTGGAAAAAGTGGAAACAAGCATAGTCACTTTTCAGGTAGAAATTAATGGGCTATGCTCATTCCTAGTGTAATTTTATTGAAGCCAGTGGTACCGTACTAATGTGAGCTTGGCTTAGCAACTCCTCAGAGGGGGTCTGTCTTTGAGTCCAGACAAATTGATTTGTCACAGTGTTGCTTTGATGTATAGAATTTGTGTTGGGATTTGACCAACATAAATGAATGTTGAATATCTACTGTTTCTGCAAGCAGTGGGTTGAATTGTTTTGCTCTACTGCCTCCATCACAGCTGCTCCACCAAGGGGAACGTTGTGCCCATGGATGTGATCTGTCAACTCTCTCAAAAGCAAGCTAACAAGCAAACTGACCTCCACAGCACTGGGAGAGGAGCCTTCTCCCACAGGACCATAGCCTTTCTGCACCTGAGGGAAAAGAGGTCCCAAGGACAGAACTGAACTGGCAAGACCCATGGCCTCATGGCCTGCCCTTCCTCCTTCCCTCCTTACCTCATATGTCTGTCTTGGGGGAGGGACAGTTTCCCTGTGGAGTTCAGCAAGCTCCTCTTCCTCATACACAGGCTTATACACAGGCTCTACCACAAGTATATCATCCACCTATGCAAATCTTCCAGAAGCTGCCAGGTTTTCAGGAGCTCATTACAATGTGCAGCATGGCCATCCGGCACTGAGAATAAGCACAGAGGCTGCTGGAAAGCTAAGTGGGTTTTATTCCTCCCCCCATTCCCAAGGACAACTGTTTTTGTTGGGCCATTTTGTTTGTTCCGTTTTTGTAAACTTCATTTGGGGGAAATGAAGCTTGTGAGAAATTGGTGCCCATCCTGAACCCTCCCCAGTCTTTTGAACTTCGTGAATGGATGGATCACCTACTGTGATTATAATTTAACGGATTTTGTAGAACAAAATAACTTCACACACAGACACATGAGGTTCTTTCACTCTCCATCAGCACAAGCTGCTTCTGCGATCTTAGCTACTCACATTAGTGGAAGAAAAAGCCTAGCTAGAATGTGGTGAGATGACGTAGTACTTTGTATCAGTCCCACGGTCCCAATGTCCATTAGCAGCGCTGTCGGCTGCTGTGCCATGAATTCGGACTTTGGATGACAGCCCATGAACCAGTCAGGGTAAAAGTTTGGAAAAACACAAGCCTGAGTCTAGTGCATCTCCAGAAGCAGATGCAGTGGGAGGAGCAGCTGAAAGCAGGCATCACCTCCGGCTCGTCTGTGCCAGGAGCTGGTGGACTCTGTGCTGCACCTGTCCCCCAGGAAGAGCCTGCTCCCAGGGGCCAAGCAGAGGAGAATGAGAGTAGTGACATGTCTGATGGAGCATGATGCACAGCACAGCTCAGCCAATGGGAAACAGCAGTGACAACTAGACCCCAAAATAACAGGATTTCACTTTGGAAATGCCAACATCTTTTTTGAACTGAAATGAGACTAGGAGGCCTTAACAGTTGTGAGAAGTGTTTCATGTTGCTGTTCCTTGCTTAAAAAAAAATAATTTTTGGTGATGAAGTGGGTTTAAACTCTCCACTCGTTCCAGCCCTTGTTGTGGTGGTGGAGAAGAAGTGCTCAAGGCAGATTGGGATGGTGTCCCTGTGGCTTCCCAGTGGGGTAGGCTGGAACAGAGGCTGGAGTTTAAAGTCTTCCTCTGAGGTGTGACCTGGCCATCCACCTACACATGCACGCATGGTAGGGTGGGCTTCTGCATGCTTGTGTGCACAGCTGGGACCCGTGGCCCTGCAGAGGGTTGGTGTGTTTGTGGCTCTGGGCTGGACACCCATCTACCTTTGCGGCAAGGGCTTTTCAGGGTGACAGCCTTGTTCCTTGTGAGAGGAAAATCCTGACCTGGTTTCTGTGAGAAGATGGTGTGAAGTGTCACATTTGCTGCAGTGAGTGCCAAGGAGCAGGGATAAAAGCATGGAGCAAGCTGTGTTTAAGAACAAGCTAATCCATTGCTGGCTGCCTGAAACAGGAGAGCTGCTGGATCTGCTCCTTGGACAATGTTTTCCGTCTCTTCCCACCCTCTCCAAACCTGATAGGAAAACTGTCATTCCTATGAGGTAGCCAAAGGACCCCTCTCCCCTGAACTCCTCTGAGGCTGTGTGTTCACATCATTTGGGTCCTGTCCCTGCTGGGTGTTGTGGGCCAGCCATGAAATGCCAGCAGACACATGATGACCGCAGGCATGCTTGTGGGCAGAACTCACAATACCCTGCTGGTGCACAGCATTCCAACAGTGCTCCCTGCCCTGCCATGCCTCCTCCTTGCTTGGTGGAGAGCAACCGCGCACGTCCTGGCATCATCTTGTGCTTTTCCAGAGAATTTCACAGCACTTGTCTGAGCCTCCGTAATCAGGGTAAGTTCAACAGACCAAAGTTAGAAAACAGAAGGCCTTGGCATTTTGGTGGTCCTGGTCCCCAAATCTTTGGTGCTGCCCCTGGGGAGGAGAGGTAGGTCAGCTGTTGTGGCAGTGTGGGGGCAGGGAACAGCATCGTAGTGAAAGCAGCATATCTGCTGGAGTCTCCAAACGTGTGCTCTGTGCTTCTCTGCTGGGGCTGAGAGCAGCTTTGCTGTGGGCTGCACTAAGTGCACTGATGGAGGGCAGAATAGCATGTGAATGGTCAGCAAGATGTGGAGAGGAGGGTTGGTAGGAGAACAGCTGTGAAAAGGTTTACAGGTGCGGTGGTTTTTACAGGAGACAGAAGACAAGACGAGGCAGGAGGCTGTGGTGCTGGAGCAGCGGTGCTGCAAGGCAAGGGGGGGGAACAGAGGGAGCAGGGCGTTTGATGGAGAAGCTTGGGAACAGAGGGGTCTTTCAAAGCAGTCTGTGCATGCTCCAGCTGAGAAGACAGGCAGGAGGTATTCCCAAGCTGAAGTGCCCAGGCCATGTCTCGCTGCACTGCTGGAACAGTGGTGTTGCCTCTAAGCCCAGCACTGACAGCTTGAGCACGTGTCACCAACCGTGATGGCTAATGCAGCCACAAGGTGTAAGTGTCACTAATGAATAAATTGCCCTGTGCCTTGGAGAGGCTAATCCATCACGGCCAGAGACAGGGATCTGACAGGCTTGGCTATTTCAGGCCTACCCTGTGGGGAGGAGGAATGCTTCTTTTCTGAGCCATCCCCTCCACCTAGGGAAACCAGTGCAGGGTTTGGCTCTGTGCCACCCCTCAGCTTCCCAGTCGCATGAGCTCAGGCTTTGTCCCTTTTCACTGCAATAGAAGGAAGAAGCAGTAAAGGATCTAGGTTAGCCAAAAGTTCCCTGTCAGCAGGGTGGTGCATGGGGCTAGCTGGTAAAGGAGTTTGGAGGGAGACTGCTGCACAGAGGACAGGGGTGACGTAGGGGCTGGTGGCATAAATTGGTGGGTCCCCAGCAATCAGGAGAGCTTGTGTGAGTTGTCTGGGTTGTAGAGTTGCATGGGCTGGGCTGTGCATTTCAAGCCAGTAGTGCTTGGTGCCATGTTTTACAAGCATGCTGTTTCCTCCCCAGTTCAGTTTCGTAGTTTGCCTCTATAAGAGACAACCTGGAAATTCTCTGAGCCTGCCCCAGCCCAAGTTCTCCCCCCATCCAGAGGTGGCTTCACTGTGCTGTCCCAGAGGCAATGCACAGGACACCCATTTTCCCCCGTGCTGTTGAACCCCAGCCACCAGCACTTCATCTTAACTGTGCAGAGGGCCGGCAGGTACCCAAGCAGGCAGGGACAGAAGCTCAGTGTGGACAAATCCAGCTCCATGGGAGCAAAGGGAGGCTGAACAGCAACCATTTCAGTGCACAGCCTCTGCCCATCGCCGTGGCAGTCTGCTTCTCCTCCCCCACTCGGTGCTCAAAATCAGCCTGCCATCCTGTTTGTGACATATGCCAGTGTGACACCTTGCAAATCAGTGCCTGGGTCGCTGTGAGCAAAAGCCGCCAGGCTTGGGAAGCTGGCCACCTTCTCCTGCTGCCGCGTGCACTCTGCTCAGAGCAGTGGAAGCCGGGCTCACCATCTGCTCCATGAGGGAGTGAGCTGGGCACCCCTGCTCCGGCCTGATGGGGCACCCGCTAGCATAGCCCAAGTGCAAGCCCTTGTGTCATTCCCCCTCTTTTACTTTCCGACCACCCTCATCTCTCCCCATCTCTCTGGCACAGATCCATGGGCGGGGGGATGTTCCCAGCTTGGCTGGGGTTCCTCTGCTGCTGAGTGCCACTCATGCAGCATTGGTGGGTGGTGGCGGTGCTGGAGGTCATTCCCTCCTTCAGACAGAGGCCCACAGATGACCCCCCTCCTCAAAGCCTGACAGTACTCCTTGGGGATAGATCTCAAAGGAGAGCTAAGGGGTCTGTCCTGGCCCTGTGCTGGCACATTCCTTTCCCAGCACAGAGTGACCAGCTAGTTACCACTCTGGAAGGCAGTCCCACCGTACTGTAACTGGACCTGGAGCTGACAAGTGACTCACCTACAGCAGAAATGTTTACATTCATACAATCTGCTGTTGCTGGCAGACCTTTTTTTTAGCCAACATGTGTGGTGTTTGACATGGTTACAGCCCTTGCAGACTGGCGGATAGTTGATTGTTAGTCTTGGGTGTGGGCAAGTGGTGCAGGCAGCTTGGTGTGGACTTTGCTCTTTGGCCAAGAGATTGATGGGAGGGAGGGCAAAGGGTTCTCCAGGCACCAGCTAACTGTCCAGGCATTCCTGCCTGTGGCAGCCCAGGAGTGGGTTTGGGGGGTACTTAGGTGGTATTAACAGTCTCAGGACTGTTTGCAGGAAAAGGAGCAGTGAATATCCTGGAAACCAAGTCAGCAGTTTTTCTGGTGATGACATGTTTTCCCAAGCCTTTTCTTTCCTTCCTTTGTCCTCACTGGCTCTGGCAGTCAATTCCTCCTCTTGTGTCTGCGAGCATGTCTGCAGGATCTCATCGCTGCCCTCCCAGCATGAGCTTTCATTGCACAACTGGCTGACCAGCTGCAGCCCTGTCCTTGGAGCTAGAGGCAAGCTTGCCCAGGACCAGGCCAGTCCCATTAAGCCAACACCCTCGCTGCTGGAGCTGTTGCTTCATCAGCCTGATGCTGATCTGAGTCTTTTCTGCTGTTTCTGAACATGAGTTCTCATCTCATTGAGGTTTGGTCATCCAGTGGAAATATTTTGTAAATGCAAATAAAAATAAATAAGTATATTCAATACCTCGGTCTCGAGGATGGGAAACAAGTAGTGGGAGATGCCCAGATAGGGAGGTCTCACAGCTGCTGGTTCTGGTTAGGAATTCTTGTGGATGTAGCCCCTGAAGCTTCCATCAATAGTTGGGAAGGGAGCTACGCAAACTTGTGAGGGCTCGGGGCTGAGCCTTGTCAGCGCCCCTTGTGTGGCCAGTGCCACTGGGGACAGCCTCACACTCCATCCTTCTGATCTGTACGGGTGTGACATGGTGCAGGTAAAGGTCCCGTCAGCCGGGGGCTGGCGGCACCACAGGTGTCTGTATCCATCAGGCAGGGCAAGGCAGAAGCGGGTACATGGTGGATAAATTCTTTTGTGAACACTGGGAAACAGTTTTTACTTTTCAACTCTGTCAATATGATCTAGCTCTGTCTGTCTCTCTATATATGTACAAACAGTATATCACAATGTTGCCTTTTTTGTTGGAAATATCAAAGTACAAAGATTGTAAACCAAATCGGTGTAATAAAAGTTTCAGATGATTCACTGAGGTGGTTGCCAGCGGTGGGTCTGTGAGTACTGGTGCTGGACAGGTTTAGAGGAATGTGAAGCCTCCTTACCATTGCTCAGAGGGCAAGAGGGGATGGAAGTCAGCCCACTTGCTGAATTCCCTGATGACATCTCCTGAGCAGGGTGGTCAAAGGACCAAGGCAGTCAAGTATGTGCCCTGTCCTTTCCTCAGGTGGCCACAGCTTGTTGAGCAAAAGGAAGCTGCTCCATTTTGCTCCAACTCCAAAGAAACTCCTCCATTTTCAACATTGTGGAATGTGTGGGCTAGCAGTCCTGCAGGGACCCCTCTAGCTTGAATACAGAATTTTTTTTTTACGGATTTGCACAGAAGATCACTATTAGGCAAGGTAAGCATCTGGTTATAAAGAATTCACCTGTTTGCAAAGCAGGCTAGCACTGATCAAAGGCATAGCAACCCAAAGCAGGAAACCACAATGGCGAGACCTATGATTTATTGAATTTATTTCTTAGTGCTTTTCACCATCCATATCAGACTCCAGACAGTTTTTGCTATAAATACAAATAAATTCTTGAGTAGAGCAGTATCCAGAAAAAGCTGCCAAGGAACTAGAAACAACATTCCCTCAATCCCCTATGCATCTCACATCCTCCTCAGCAAAATGCTTAAAAAAGCTGCCTGCCCTGAAAGTTAGCTCTGGACTAAACTATTTAGATGGCAGAGGCTTCACCTTAGCTGCTTTACAGGTGGAACAGTTACCTGAACTCAGCTTACTGCTGGGGCACTTTAGAAGCACCACAGGAGGTGGAATATAGTCTGGTGTGCAATGAGAGAGGGGCTCAGGAGGCAGATTGCTCTGTGGTGCCACTACAGTCCCTTCAGGTCTAACGTCTGTCTCCTATTAAGCCACAGGTTGGATGATGGGGGTCTGGGAAAGGCTGCGATGACAGCCACAAGATAAGTGTTTCTCAGAAATACAAATAAAACCAAGACTAAAGAAAAGTATCTCCAACACTGTACCTCCCAAGCTCCTTGTGCTGGAGCATTTTATTCAGGGGGGCTTGGCGATGGGGTGCTGCAGCCTCACTGCTTCCCTATTGGCCCACACAATTTGGTGAATGAAGTACTCAGCCTCCTGGTCCACCTCTGCCCGGCGGAGGTCAAGCTCAGTCAAAGTCTTGTTGTCTGCCAGCCCTGCAAGCAGCTGCTTCCCACCATCCTGCAAAAGGATGAGAAAGAGTGGTTAAGGGAGGAGATCCAAAAGGGAGGTGTATTGCTCCTTTTCTCTCCTCCCCAGGGCAACTTCTGCTGCTGGCAGTGGAAAGTCCGTGAGATGGTGCCACAAGGGGTGAAGGCCTTCCCCCAAGCCTGAAATGTTGCTCACAGGAGAAGTGCAGGGAAGGAGTGTAACCTTATGCAGCTCTCAGTGATATGACACATGCTAATGACTCCCTCTGGGTACCATGTCAGGAGTTCTCAAGCTCAGACTGGTTAATAACACGTCTGTCTGGCAGTGATAACCTGAGAGGAGTCTGCTCCCCCCTGTCCCTCAGTCCCCAGCTCACTGCTGGCTGGGGACAAATGGCAGTGTGATTAGTGTACTGCTCCTCATTCTGCTCCTCCTCTCATCAGTGGTGTGAGCCCCAGTACTGGCAGTTTCCTGCCTGGATGCCATTTCCCAGACTGGGTTGGCTTTCCTGAGGGGAACATCTCACACAACTGAAGTCCAGCCTGCTTGGTACAGAAAATGTGGTGTAGATAGCCTTAGGGAGGCAACTCACTCTGGGGCATTTCTCTTTGTTACCCAAAGCACTGTATTTAGGCATGTGACAAATTGAACTTTTTACCATCTTAGCTATTCTCTTTCGGGTACCAAATACTCCTCCTGCCCCATCTCCTCCATCCAGTTGGTCCTCTCATCCCACCACCCTCTCTCTTAGCCCTTTTGCCAAAAAGGGCAGAGCAAAAAGGACTGGGAAGAAGTCTCTTTTTAATGAGGTACAGAGGTCAGAATTTAGTGCATCTGTAGCAAAACCCCCAATTTTCCCAAAGATAATATCACCAGCTGAGTTTTGGGCTGCTCTGAGGCTTCACAAATGGGTAACAGGAGAGCTCAACAGAAGGAAGATGCTAAGCATAGAGATTATTATTTACTAAACAAAAATCCTTCTATCCTTTCCAATCTTTGCCCGCTTGTATCATTAAACTCAAATGGTTTTCCACATCCGGGACCATAAAACTCAGAACTCACAAAAGGTTTTCTGCCATCAAATCCTTTTAAAACCGTTGTCAAACACATTGATGCCAATATTCTTGCCAGCAGGGACAGCTGGTCTTGCTGTCTCTTTATTTGACAGAGAGAATAACTGAGGCAGTGCAGAAAGTTTAAAAGCCAGCATGATTGCTTTTGGCTGCCTAGTTTCGAATTTCTAAAGCTCTTTTTAATCAGCAGTGGAGAAGCGGTCTGGTTTGTGGGCATGTTGCATACTGCAGCTCTTTGGGATGTCGTAAGATCTGTGGATGCTCTTCTGTCTAGAAAATGTAAGCCTGTGTTTTAGGAGCCACTTATAAGCACCCAGACGTGACACTTCTGACCCAGAGCACTGCTCCAGGGCTGCAGAGTGAGTTAAAGAAGCTCAGCAACTGAGCCAATTTTCTAACAGTCTCCTCTGAGCATGTGATGGATGGGAGAAATTCTGGGAAGGGTGACACTATCTGTGTGCTGTTGAGTGACAGATGGCACAGCAGATCCAAAGCACAGAAGATATGCATGAGGCCCTCATCTCACGTCACCTATCATTATTAACTATTCTCACATGTGCAAAGTGGCTGTGATTTTTCCCAGACATACTCCCTGGTGTTCAGTTTCCTGAGAGTGGGAATCCCTCCCTGCCCAAAAGCCCAAAGCCTCAAAGCCAGATTCAGCCCTGCGAATGGAGCTAGATGTAACAAGTGAGATAAATATGTGTGCATGCACAGAACGTGTCCTTCTTCTTCCTGCCCTCTGCTAGAGTCTCTTTCCTGCTCGCAACTGATTGTTATCACAGAGAGATTCCAAAATGAGGGATTCATTTGCCTCTGTGGCTTTGAGGAAGGGCAGGCTCAGCATCTGCTTTTCAAATCCACCACACAGGCTCACAGACTGCAGGGAGAAGTGGGTTTTCTTACCAGCCCCAGGTGGTTGCATGAAAAGTTGATGCTCCTCAGGGTGGTGTTCTGAGCCAGGACCTGGGAGAAAAGTGTAGCAGTTGGCTCTGACAGGTTATTACTTCCCAGATGGATGGACTTCAGGGTGGTGTTGGTCAACAGGGCACGGCCAATCGCCTCCCCGCCTTTGTCCTCCACGCAGTTGAGGCGCAGATTCAGTGAGGTCAGGGTGGACTTCTCAGCCAGGGCTTGAGCAAGAGCCTGAGCCCCCAGGTGATGGATCTGGTTGTTACACAGATCAAGGATTTCTAATCTGCTGCGACTGATCAGCTTGCCAAGAGCTTGTGCCCCCTTGTCCCTGATGAGATTATGGGACAAATTCAGCTCCACCAAGCAGGGGTGATCCACCAAGCTACGGGCCAGCAGCTTGGTTTTTTCATCATCCACATTGCTTCGTGTCAGCTTGAAAACCTGTGGGGATAAAAAGCAAGGTCACTAAAACAGCCAGTGCTTTGGACTGAACTTTTACAAGATCTCAAGGGAGTTAAGCCTGTGGTCCTCCAGACAGGTTTCATCTCCCTTCACTTCCAATACCTTTAGCAAGTAGGTTTGAGTAGTTGCTTTCATAGTGGGTAGATACTTCCAGCAGGCAGGGCATGCCACTGGTGTCCCATGCCTATTCTAGGGAAACATGGTTTGTCTTCTGAAAATTTCCTGTTCCTCTCCTCTGACTGCACAAGATTTTTAACTGGGGGCTGAATTAAAGCAAGATAAAGCTGTCCAAACGTCTGCAGCAAGTGACAGCAGAGCCCACCTCAGATCACAGTCCAACATTGTCTGAATGAACATGCACACCAGTGGTAACCACAGTGCAATGTCCTGTGCTGCCAAGGCACCTTAACAGCCACAAGAGAGGTCATTTCTCTTTTGGAAGCCAAGTAGACAAATATTTCCCAAAGCATGCTGATCTATGGGGAGAGTGTTCAGACAGCTTGCCCTGTCTCTGCTATAGATAGCAATGCCTACTGATGTTTTGGAGGGGCTATCTTCACTGCAGTTACCAAAACTGAAGATGCTCCTAATGCCCAGGAGGAAAACCTTTCATCATTCTAAGAGAAGTGCGAGTATTTCCCCATGCTCTTCTTGGGTGTCTTTGCTCCTCTGGGGCAGGTTAACATGTATTTACTCAGCATAACTACTAAAACTCCTTACGAAAAACTCTCTCTGGACTTCTCCTTCCCTCCCAGAACCGTGTGAGGAGTTGAAACAAGAGTGCTGCTGTCCCTTATGCTACAGGCAACATGTTTTGTGGGAGCAAGTATTTTTCTCACTGATCCTCTGACAACCCATTCTAACAAGGACATTGCAGAATGAGATACTCAGCACTAGGCCAGCAAGTTACATCACTGCACTCTGCCAGACTCTGTAACTTGCAAAAGGAAGGGTGCTGCCAGCGAGCAAAAACTGGTCCCTGCACTTCTATCCCCAGGTGATTTGAAGATCTATCTGAGGAAGGGGAAGGTTCAGTTTGGGGTACATTACTTTCAGGTTGTGGCACATCTTCACGGCAGCAGCCAAATTGGAGCAGTCCTGGTTGGTGAAGTTAAAGAGGTTCCACTCAAAGTTCATGCCACAGTCCTTCACGCCATAAGTAAGATGAAGCTCTTCAAGGTGAGGGAGAGCAGTAATGAGATCTTTCAGGTCGTAATGTTGCACGGAGACCTCACCAGATTCAAAGTCACTCCCTGTATCAGAGAGGTCATCCCTCTCCTCTTTTTGATCCACCTTCACTGGTGGCAGGAACTGATCGATCTCCAGTTTCCGCACATAGCCTTTGCAGAGCGGGATGAGCTCTAGGACCTGGTTGGGGTCTGTGGTGTTAGGGATGAAACATTTCAGGATGTTCTCCAGGTGACGTTCAAAGAACATCCGTTTCCAGCTGTCTCCATAGTTGGAGACATCACACAGTTGCCACCGCTCAGTACAGCACCTCTTCCAGTACTCCTCATCGCTTACTAGGTTGGCAGTCACAGCGAGTGGAAGGCCAGTGGAGAGTCTGTCCAGTACCTTCCTTTGGTGTTCAGGCAGAAGATAGTTCAAAATAGGGTTCTCTGGAAGGAATAAAAAGAAAGAGAGGTTGGTCTGGGCTGTAAGAACCAGGGCTAGCTCTATGGTTCTGCCCAGCCCCACAGCTGTGTGCCCAGGCCCTCCCTTCTACTGATACTGCCTCTCTTCTCAGTTGCCAGAGGCTGGTGCACATAGCTAAGCTGGCAGAAAATATGAAGGATTCACCTCCTACATTTCTGTGTAGGATTTCTAACTTTTACAATAAATATCAGTGTAATTGGGTTTACTCTCATAATATTTGAGTACTGCATCAGAAACTTAGATCCCCATTTAAATTTAGTTTGAATGGAGTTTATATTCAGAGCAGGAATTCTGCTCTCAAGAGAGCTAATTCAGCCTTACAGCGATGGGAGAGCTTGGCTTGCCATTTGCTGAACTTTCTCCCTTTTGGTTTCTAAGCATATTGAAGAACAGTATTTGAGAACCACTGTCTTGTGTGTGCTCTACATGCAGGTCCTTGTGCCTATTTATCTTAAGTCAAGTCTCTGTCTTACCCCAAACTGATTCCTCTTCCTTTGCACTGAGACACACTCTTAGCTTTTAGGTCCACGTTGTTTAAATAAAAGTTTGTTTTTTTCCAGGAACTCTCTCCCCTCAGTCTCTTTCCCAGTTCTCACCCTAGGCCTGAGCTGGCTTTTGTCTGGTGAAAGTTCTTTGTGGTAGGAAATGCCAGAGAAAAGTCATGTGTACCCACATCGTGACTGTTTGGTGACATGTAGAGTCGTGTTGAGTAACAGAAATCATCAGTGGAGAGACCTATCTGCACATGGGAAACCAGATTTTGAGTGGGGTTAGCTTTATATTTCCTCTGTTGCTGTGGCATTTCCTTCATAAGGACACCCAGAGTTTTACCATGGTCTCTTCCCGGAGTCTATTTTCCAGCGTCCTACAGCTGACACTGCAGTGACCTTCTCTGCTAAGTCCCACAACACCAGCAGAGGTGGGACACAATATGGGCAGGACTGGGATAGTTTCACTTGGGTTCACTCAGGCCACAGCAGTAGGCAAGGCGCAGTTGCACAGCTCAAGTAATGGCATGAGGGTCCCCATGACACCAAGCACACTGCTTTTATGCACACACAATGTAGGCCCAATTCATTTGGCATCAAATCCTACTGGCTGGTAGGACTGCAAGGGTGTCCCAGCTCAGACCCTCAAGTACCATCAGCTCCTGGCATAAGGCAGCACTGAGCTCCTCTGTACTGTCTTACAGTCCCAATGTCGAGACAGCCTTAGAGCTATCTTTAGTCTTTGCTGCCACTTCACTGAGTCAGCCAAGAAGACAGGTAGGCCTTTCTTTTCCCCCTGCCAGTCAGTTCTCAGATGAAACATGCTTTTTCTGTTTTGCTGTTTCCTCAGTCCACCTGCTTCAAAAGCACATTCTCTGCCCAAGGATATACCTTGTCACATCACCACCGGAAGCCGTGGAGGAGGGCTGAGTCTGTGAGTACAGTACGTATTCTGAGATGGCAGCTCCTCCAGGCAGGGAGCAATTCTCCATCTCCTTGTACAGCACTCAGTATAACAGGGCTCCATCCTCAAGCGCTAGCATAACACGTATATTAATCAAGAGGAGGAAACAGCAACTCTACAGCCCCAGCCATGGTTGAGGTGAGTCCAGAAGAGCACGGATGGAAGGAGATATGATTGAACAAGGTCAGGGCAGAGTCACATCCTGGACAGCAGCCCAGAGGACTACAGCCATCCCTGGAGTGTACAGGTACATACTTAGCAACTAAACAGTTTGTTTAACTGGCTGCCCAAAGGGATATTTCTCCCCACCTGTCCCTTTGGCAGGGCTGGGTACCACACTCTGCCTTTCAGATGCATCTGCCTGCCTTGTTGACGCTCTGCTCCCTGGGACTGATGCTCTCTCTCCCTGTGCCCCAGGGTAAATGCACTCCCACTTACTTTCAAAATTGTGAACAATGTGCTGGAGGCAGAGCTCAGTGAGGTGAGGGACAGTGACAAGGGACCAGTTGGGGTCCTCAGTGATGCAGCGGCGTGCATAGTATGAGTCAGCATCAAAGCTGGCCTGAGATGGACGTGGTGAGGGAATGGCTGTGCTCCTATCACCAGTCGCTGGCTGCTGCATCCTGCTCAGGACCCACTTCGCCTTCAGGAGAAGTGCTTAAGAGTCAGCACCACATTTCCCAGCTGGACTGCCTGCAAAAGAAAGAGGCAACTTCAGAAAGAGGCCAGTGATAAGAATGGTCTGCTCACACTGCTCTCCCGTAATGCACGTGGCCCCTGCCCTTTGCCTGCCTCCTCTGCTTTGGACTGGAAGCACTGCAGCCAAACAACTATTACTCAGCCTTATCTTTATATCCTGCTCTGTGCAAAGAGGTCTCTAGGCACTACATGTAATAAGCAGATAATAATGTGGTGTTAATTCAGAGTGCTGTTGAAGAGGATGGACGGGAATTGATTGTTTACTGTCTTTTCCAATAAAAGGAACAGGCAAAGCTGACAGGAGCTGGGTTTAAAGCAAAGGGAAATGATGGTTCTTTACATGGTCTGCAGTTGAACTGGGGAATTCCTTGCCATGGGATGTTGTGGATGCTAAGAGACTGTGCAGGTTCCAGGACAAGTCCATGGAAGAGAAACCCCTTGAGAATGATTAAATGCACAGAAATCATGTGGCTCAGTGTGAGCTGAACACAGGTGGAGGTGGGGAGGCTGCTGGAGGAAAGAAGAACACATACTTGCATTGTTTTTCTACTCTTCTCCAAGTGTCTGCTTCTAGCCACTGTCAGAGATGGGTTGTTGGGCCAGCTATCCCCTGATTTGATCCAGTATGCCTGTTCTTATGACTCTTTAAGGAGAGATGCTTTACAGATGAATACATTATAAGTGGGTTTTTTTCCTGCATTTCTCAATTACTGTCCAGCTGAACTCCTTCCAAACATCCATTAACAGATGAGATGGGTGAGACCTATTCAGACTGCACTGAGCTTAAGCAAATATGAACTAAAACCCCAGCCTGGAACAGGAGGAAGTATGCCCAATCCTATTAGCTCTGCAGAGCTCTCCCAGACCAAAGTTTTCCATTTGCTGTTTCCTATCCCAACCTCAGGGCCAGTGCTTTACACCATCAGAATCCCACATGTATGGTTATTGCCTGGAAGTCTTAATGGTTCTCTTACCAGCACTACCAGTCTGAAAGAGGCAGAGAAGACACCAGGAAAGAATCTTCCACTTGAGTTCTGGGTTCAATGAGAAAGCAGGAGGATGAAGCTGTATTTCCTGGGAGGCACTGGTGTACAGATGGCAAAGACAAAGGCTGTAGAAAAAGGGAGCCTGGTCTGAAGAAGGGTGGATGTGGAAGAAGGCATGAGCGACAGGCAGCTGTGAGGATGGACTGGGAGTTGCTTTCTTGCAAAGCTTCTCACCCCCAAAAGAAGGTGCTTTGATGGTGGGCCACCTTTCAAGGGGAAGAGAAGAGGCCTGGTTCTCCACAGCATACTTACCCCACTGAAATTCAGCTCTTGGTGCTTGATGGACTTCAGCAGAAGGGCAAAGCACAGCTGGAAGGCAGTGAGGGGGCATTAATAGAAGAGAAGTGACTGGGAAAAATGTTTTCTCCCTGCTCAGTCCTTTGTCCTATTCAAAAACCATCTGTATCACTCTGTCCCCCAGGCCAGTCACAGCTAATTGGAGCTTCTGATGGCTTTCCTGACCTTTTGGAAGCAATCATTAAAGGCCAGATGTTGGGGAGAGCCAGTGCAGCATTGGTGGCCTAGGATTATTTCCTGTCTGTGTTCCAGCAAATGATCCAACTGCCAGTTTACCAATGGCAGATTGCTTTTTGAAGGGTAGGTAAACCATGGCACATGCAGGACTGCTGGAGAGGAAGCAGGAGACACAGGCAGAGCTGAAACCCATCTCTAGAAACAGTGCAGCTGCCTCCATGCACTGGATGAAGCTCTCTGAGCGAAGCATGCCTGCAGTGAGAGGTCATTCATTGTGCAGTGCTCAGCTGTGGGCCAGCCCCAATGTCAGGTGGCCACAAAGGAGAGGCAGACAGCTTGAGGTGTCTGTGTCTGGGCTGCTAAGAAGCTTTCCCTTGAGTCCCAGAGCAAGTAGCTCAGTTGACTCCGCCATCCCCACTTGTCACTCACTATGAAGCCAACAAGAGCAAGGCCGCAAGGCCTCTGAATCAACCCCAGTGCCAGGTCTCATGCTGAGTCACCACTCCCAATCCCATTCCCACCATGCCAACACAGTGAGCATACCCTGCCAGGTGTGCTTACCACCAGGGGAAGGACCTCGTTCAGCCCACATCCCCTGTGACTCGGCTGCAGAAGTCTCACCCATCCAGAGCTGACACGCCAAGCCAGTTTCCATACCTGGTTTTGTTAAGTGTATATTTAAAAATGGAGAAGCATTGTAATTCACTATCAATAAACCAAGTCAACAGCATTAATGCACGCTCCTTAGGACACACTCTACATGCACAGCAGTCACCTATGCTAAAAAGGCTTTATTAAATGATATATAATGAATGGGGTCATGTAGTAAACTCCCACCGTGTCATTTAACACCCAGGTTAGACTGAAAGGTAAATAATGCTAAAATTCTTAAAAAAAAAAAAAAATCACACTTCCCTTCCCAGGAGGAAGCTGACAGAAGTCCACTCGCACAGCCAACTTATGCTGCTACTAATGTGCCTAACAAAGCTTCTCCAGTTGAGCCTGTTTTGATCTGGAAATAAAAATTTTTGCTCTTCTGCTTCACATCAAAGCCCATAGAGAACAAAAAAGAAAAGCTGTTTGGAAACTGGTGACCTTTGGCTGATGCTTCTTACCAGCATTATGGAGATCCAAGATACGGAACAATTGTAAACACTGCATTTACTGGAAAGTTTGCAAGTGTGGGAGAAATTCTTTCTGGTTTTGCCCCAGCCAAGATCACATTCACATTGAATCTCTGTCTATCCATGAATCAAGGAAGCTCTTACACCACTGCAGCAGTACGCCAGTTATTCTGCACATGTCCTGACCTTTGTGCTGTTACCTGTAGTCCAGACAAGCAATCCCAAGTGCTGGCTAACACTGCTGATCCTGCTGCCACATGCGAGGACTTGCCACACTCCCTTGCACTTCCAAAGGCTGATGCTAAGTGTGCATTAAGACAGGCTAATCAAGAGGCTCAGTGTCTGCAATGGGCTTTATGAGTGTTAAAAAAAAAAAACCAAACAAAAAAGGCGTGTCAGATGAGGAATCTATTTAGCTTCAGATATAATGAAATTTGTCTGTAATGGAAGACTGAGCAGAACGAGGCCAGTCAGCCTTTTGGAATATGGTTAATGTCACACTGTAATCCAGGCGGTGCGAAGGGCTAGCACTATGGTCCTGGACCTCTGCCGGCATGACGCGGAAAGGGCCTCTGCCCCAAAGGGATGTCAGAAACAGGAAAGCCCTTTCGGACCTGAGCATCGCACACCGCAGCCCGGCCCCTGCGCGCAGCTGGCTCTGCCGTGCCAGCCCCCGGACACTCGGAGAGGGGTCCCTTCCCCGCGGGCAAGGACAACGCCTGGCTGCTGCTCAGCTCCGCGGCCCCCGCCAGCACAGCTCCATGAGGTGCCGGCGGCACGGCCTTGCGCTACCCCCTCCCGGCCAAGCTCCTCTCCAGAGACCCCGAGAGGGAAGAAAAGTCATTAGCCCGGCCGCTTCGTTAAGAATCAGACCTGCAAACCGCAGGAGGGTGGAAGTGTCCGGTCACGCCAGGTGGACGCGCCCGGGGCGCTGAAACGCGCGGGGGTCCCTCAAGGCCCTGGCCCGGGGGGTCTCTCGGCTGCCGCTGCGTCCCTTGCTTGCGGGGGGCGGGGGGGCAGGAACCAACCCGGCGGCCGCCCGTGCCCCGCCTGCCGCTCTCCCTGCCGCGCCGTCACTGCGGACGCGGGCCGTTGCCGGGCGGGCCCCGCGGGGCGGGAGCGACAAACTCCCGGCGGGCCACGCGCGGCTCGAGGGGCGCGCCTGGTCCCGCGTCAGGCCGAGGAGGTGGCGGTGAACGGGAGCCCTTCTCTTCGAGCACGGAGCAAACGTGTGAACTCACCACCATGTCCCTCACGGGGACGCTCCGGCGGTGCTGGAGTGGGGCGGGAGGGGCCGAGGTCCCGGACACTCCTGCAGCGACAGCTGCTGTGGCATCACGGCATCATGGAAAGAATGGAGCAAGGCGTGTGAATGGTTCAGTACCAATATTCAAAGGGCGAATGCTGTTTTTTATTGCGTGTTTGTAATGCTAAAAGTATGCTGTCAGTGCGTGAAACGGGCTTGCTTCAAGGTCTCATATTTTGGGGCTGTTACCCCTGAACGGCAGATCACAGGCAGGTCCGAGGGGGGCGGGAAAAGCAAACTTGAGAACTCCACTGAAGGCAAGATCTTGGTCCATCTGCTGTGTGCCCATCTCTCCTCCTTGATTTGCTCTTTTTTCATTCTGCTGTTAAGCATCCTCTGTAGAGGAGGGGAAAGACCAGAATTCTCATCAAGGCAGTGACTACACACACATAATGCTGTGGAATATAAAGAGTAAACAAAGGGATAAAAACATTCACTTCCTCTTTCCATTCCTCAGATCTAAGCATTTTAGTATTTCCCAGGGGATTTTCAAACTGAAATGTGTCTTTCTTTCTCTTCATCAGAATGCTGATACACTCAGTAGTGGGCACATGAGGAGCACAGCCAGCCTGTGCCCTGTGGGAGCATACATAACACTGGTGCCAGCTCTCATGATTGTCCTGCAAGTCCCATAATAGCTGGCATTTTTAGGAAGCTGTGCTGACTTTTGTATAAAATATACCTCCTGGTCGTGAAAAAGATGTTACAAGCATGATCTGAGAATACCCAAAAGGCCCAGCAACATAACAATAAATGCAAAGAGGCATAGATTAAAAAAGGGATCAAGATTTTGAGGCCTCCTTTGTGAGTTTCAAAGATGGGAAGTTAGGCTTTGGCAGCAATGTACTTCTTTTTCTAGGTGTGGCCTGATTCTGTCACTCAACTCCGCAGAAGACAGTGACACTGCCTGTGAGTCAAGCTGGTGTTTAACACAGTGGGGGTGTCATAAGCCTTGCAAAGCCCTTCAAAAACACTGACCCCACACTGACCATGTTATTCCTGGGAACACATCTTCAGGGCTTTTGAGACCTTGAAAAGGAGAAATGAGAGCAATATAAGACCAGAAATATTTTCTCTTGCACTGATTCCCATGCATGCATTCAGTTAGACTCCCGAATAGCAAAGGAGATAGCCAAAGGGGAAACAAAGAAATAGCCTCCCTTAGTTGCCTCCACAACAGTGATTGATTTCTGAGCTGAGCCTTCAACAAGCCATCAACTGACATTTTTAGCCCACCTCATGGCTAGCATAATGCAAATGTCATATTTTGGACTTCACGGTCCCATGGAGTCCAGCTGTGTCTGTCCAGTCATTGATTCGCAGAGAAACGGTGCCCAAGTATTGCAGTCAGTTGTTGAACTGGATGCAATCTGGTGTTGAATCATATGCTGAAAACAAGGAATGGTAGTCAAAAAAATAGCTGTGTTAACTCTTTATCTGCCTTAGCATTTATTTCCATCTCTGTAGGCGTCAGCACCTCTTCCCAGTGGGGTGTGCAGTGGCAGTTCTTTCTCAAGTGCTGTGGAGTAGCTGACTGTGCAGGGTAAAATACCCATATCCATTCCCATTCTCCCTGTTCACATGTGAGGGTGAGGATGAGGGAAGGTGCTGCTTCCTGGCCTTAGTGACTAGAGCATTGTCCTACCAGCAGACCACAGATGCCTTCTGTATCCTTGCAGCTGCCAGGTCTCAGATTTCTCCCAGACAGCACCTGTGTCGGCGTTGTGCATTATCTGCCAGCTTTGCCTGGAGTTGGAGGACAGCGTAACAGTAGTCAAAACTCATATCACAACAAATAAATAGGACAGGAGCCAGGTCCTGCAGTGCCTTGTGTGGGAGGAACATATCCCACAAGGCATCTTCTGCTGCTAATATGAAGATTCAGGTGCTGTTCTGGAAACAGAGATATGGCTGTAGGGTGACAACCTTTTTTAGTGTCCTAGGCATGATGGAAAAGTAACATGTTATCTTCCATGGCTTTGCTCAGCCACCAAGACACCTTGCAGCCAAGCAGCTTCCCTCCTTTCCCCTCCCATCCCCTCCCCTTCTCTCTCCTCTCTCCTCTCCTCTCCTCTGGTACCAGGACCAGCTGTCTCCTTGGGGACTGAAGGAACACATCTGGTGAGGCTTCTGCCCATGGCAAGTGGAAGGCTGTTTGTTTACTCTGGCAGCTGGAGGTAGCAGGAGAGGAAAAGAAAACCCCTCTGTGCAGGTTTCCTCCTGTTCAGCTCTGCTGGTACATATTCTGCAGCACCCTGTGTCCTCATACCCCACCATGACAGACAGAAGTCCTCTTGTGTTGCCAGAAGTCACCATACCAGTCCATGATATCATTTATTTGAGTCCTTTACTCCACGTGGGGCAGCTTCTCTAGCTGCTGCCCAGAGCAAGGCTACACCCATCTGTCAGATGTGGTTCATCTCTCCATGGGGAAGAACCACAGGAACAGCTGAAGGTCAGGTTTGAGAGGAGGCTGTTGGTGTTTGATTTCTGCCTGACACTAAAGGGATTTGTTAGGGCAGGAGCCAGCAAGGTTTGTCCTTGGCACTGGTGGAGTCCTCTTTCATGAATGGCTTCTACTCTTTCAATGAAGAGCACAGAAAATTGCCAAAACTGGAAGGGACTCAGCAAATTGAGGATACTGAGGAGCAGGGACTGGCTCCAAAGCCCTGTCTCCAGGCCCTTCTCTGCTGGCTCCCTGCAGCTCTTACTGGAAAACACTGCTTTCAAGCAGCCAGCAGCTCCTGGAGTCCTGGGGGAAGCAGCAAAACAAATGACATCCTGGAAGGAGGAAAAAGACCCCTGCACAGCCAGTGCTCAAGGAATGGGGAGCAGGATGCTCTCTGTGCTGTCACTCTCCCAAAGCTTTCTGGTCTCCCTAGGTCCCAGCAGGAGCCATGCAGCTGCTGACAGCTATTAATAGATGGGGAGAATGTGGGCTCTTTTTCCTACTGCTTCCTGGGATGAATGGTAATTACCCTTAATGAGACTGGTTCTACCTCCTACCTTCCAGCCCCCATGCCTGCTCTGGCAGGGAGAGACCAACTCATCTGCTGCCTGCACTGGCTCTGTGGGGAGCAGGGCTTGGCAGCAGGAGTGGAGGCTTATCTCCCCAGGACATCCTGCAGGCCTTGCCCATGGATGATGGGCACAGGGGCAGAGGCAAAGCCTGCCAGATGACAGGCTGCAGCAGCTCATCTCAGCCTGGTCTTTCCAATGGCACACAGGAGCCCTGTGGGGAGGCAGATAAATGATCCCATCTAACCCTGAGGGTGTGCTCTCTCTTTGAGATTAATTTAAAAAACAAAACAGGAGAAGAAATAATCAGGGAATCTGACCTGTCGTTATGGTTGGCATCCCCATCATAATGAATTGCACCAAGGTCTGTGAAATGGGGCATCCTTCCTCCACTGCTGGTGCAAAACAGCAAAATACACCTGGACTTGGCCCCCATCTCCCACAGGGCACAGCCTAGATGCCATGGGGTTAGTCAGGATATGACCTGCCCAAGGGAGGGATGTTTTTGATCTTGTGCCACTGTACCTCTGGCCTGAGCTCTGAAGTAGGAAGGTTTCATTCATTCAGTTTGCTTCAAAAATACTGCAAAAATAGTGCACGAGGTTTTCTTCATCCACTGAGACTATGCCTCCCAGGAATCACATCCCAAGAAGATGGAGAAAAATGTGGGTGGCTGTTAAATCTTTCGTGAACATCCCAGACTCTGGCTCTGGGGCAGGACACCCTCTGCACCAGTGTTTGCCCAAGATGTTTAGTACGCTTGCACTTCACTAACCCCACTCAGTCCACCTGAACAGCCACAATGTCTTAATGAATCCTTGCTGTTCCCCCAAACTTGGCCTTTTCCCTGCTTGGTTCAGCTTAATAGCTAGTAACACCTTCCACCACAGGAACCCCTTGCTGTCACTGATCCTTGCTGCTTGCAGCAGGGTGAGAGCAAAAGGCAGGCACTAGGCAAGGCACTAGGCAAGGCAGTTTATTTGCCTCCTCTTAGTTTTTAATTTCTTTTTTCCCCAGATCATTT